TAAAGTTGTCACAGATAGGGGAATGGAATGGGAGTACCAATATGTCTAACATTGTCTGGTTTTGTTAGCTTTCCCCTTGATCTTAAATAGTATGTTTAAACTATTTCTAAATAGCCATGGGTGTCTTCTGTGCAGGTTTAAAAACCTATATAGCGGGGCCAGCCAGAGCTAGGCAATAGGCTCCTTCAAACCTGGAAAAAAAACCCATGTTTGCAGAAAGTGGGGGGTGGTTTGAGTCGGGGTTTTAAAATCCTTCAAAACATACAGAACGATGTGTCTGTATGCAAAGATATCAAGGAGACATTCAGCTTGCATGGCCTTTTGTGCTACCACGGTGGTGCTGGTAAAAAAGATGGAGGGGGGAACGGAGGCAGTGGGGAGAGGAAAGGAGATGGGGCAAGCAGGAGCAGGAGTGGGCAGATTGGAGGGTGACATGAAGGCAAGAGCGAGGAGGGGTAACAGAGCAACAGTGGAGAGACACGGGAGTGGCAATACAGAAACAGAGGCAGCAAGGAGATGGGAGTAGAAAACAGGATAAATGGCAGTGGGGAGCTGGGTGAGGAGGGGGTAAATGGGGAAAGAGACAGGGTACAGTAGGGTTGCCAGACAGCCTGGTGTGGAGGCAGGGGGTACCCCGCTGCCAGGCCCTGCCCCCCAGCCACTGATCAGCTGGCAAGCAGGGGGACTTACCAGTAGAAAGAGGAAGGGCCAAGGCCACGTTTGTTGGCATTGCACAGGAAGTGACATCATCATGCCAGCAACTGGGTGACGGTCTGGTATTTGGGCAAGAACTCTATGGTAGAAGCCATTTTGCCTTAGAGTTTTTTGCCCAAATACCAGAGTGTCACCCAGAAGACACTGGCTTGATGACATAACTCCTTGTGCTATGCTGGGGACGTGGCCTGAGCCTTCCTCTCTCTCCCTCTCTCTCTCTCTCTCTCCTAGTAAGTCCCCCCCCATACAGGAGGGACCTGGCAAATCTAGTGTACAGACAGGTGGAGAGGTGGAGGCTGCAGGAAGGGGATGGGGAAAGAGAGCAAACAGCCGTGGGAGGCAGGAGGGGGAAATGCACTCAGCAAGTGGAGGGACAAGGGACTTACACTTTTGCTGTACTACCTGCCATGCATCATTTCATAACCTAAACAGTTCTACTGAGCATATACTGTATCTTTCTTGGTGAGCTTTATAGTGACAGCCACATATGCAGTTTTAGGGACAATATAATGCCGTTTTTTCTTATAATATTTTAGGGGCAGTAGATAACGCTGTTTATTTACACTTTCATCGCAAGAAACACAAAATATCTGGATTTTTTGGTTGTCATTCTGCACTGCACATTTTTCCGGAAAGAGATTCATGCACAGACTGCTGTTGATTGATTCAAAACTTTTAGGCCTGCTTGAGAAATAAAATGAATCAAAGAGGTTTCTAACAAGAAAGCACAAGGCGTTGCTGCTCCCTCAGCTGATTTCCTCCAAGACTGGTTGCTTTAAAAATGGGACCTCCGTATGAGTCCCTGGAGAGCTGCTGCCAGTCTGAATAAACAATACTGAGTAGACAATCCTGACCTTCATTGGATGCCCTCGAGTTCTAGTATTTTGGGAGAGGGAGAAAAATCTCTCTTTGCCAGTCCCCTCCACCTCATGCATAATTTTATAAACCTCTATCATTTCCCCCCTTTTCTAAACAGAGAGGTCCCAGACTCCTCAGCCTTTCCTCATAGGGAAGGTGCTCCAACCCCTGAATCATCTCGGTTGCCTTCCTCTGTGCTTTTTCCAGCATTCTGGGTGAGGCAGGGAGATTTGTTTGCAGAACTGGGGGTGGGGGGGGGAATCCCCTGGCATTTTGAGGTAATGTTTCTTTCTCTAGCTTATCATAGAGATGGAAACCCAAACAGCACATTTACACCCCAGGGAAGGGGGGTAACATCATGTAATGGAACACATTTTGGACAATTTCAAAAATTAACAAAGGCCCCGGTCACACGGGAGGATTTGCCCCACAAGAGGGACGGATCGGGGGTGCATCAAGCGGGTGCGATCACACCACAACATCTGGGAAGCGGCGCACACCTGTCCCCAATCTGTCCCTTCGGCCCACAAACGCGCATCAAAAAGGTAGTAGCAACAGAGCACTACCTTCCGGATGATGTGTGGCAACGAAAGGCGTCTGGTCGGGGAAGCGCTGGTAGCCCGTCGCAGCCAGCGCTTTCCCCTGTCCCACGCATGCGCACAACTGCGCTACTGCCAGTTTGCTGCACGGCCGTGTGATCGGCTGCCGGAGCAGGGAGCACGGAGCCGCGGGGGCACGTCGGATCGCGCTCCCGCAGTCCTGTTTGCTCCGTCTCTAATTTACTTCCCTTCGGCAGCGGATCATCCCACTCGTGTGAACAGGATCAAAGAAAAGGTATCTTAATAATGAAATCAAAAATCAAACAAACATCATTGTAGGTTGATTTGCATTTTTGGGAAAAGGAGAGAGCCCTTATGAGAAATTTACCAGACTCCAACAGAACCCCAAACCGACAGGTTTGCCTATCCCTATTAATATCAAAATGTGCTTCAGTGATACACACTCTACCTGTGAAGCCCTTTTTGTCTTTGCCCCCACTGAAAGGAAGCCTGGCAAGGCCTCTTTGGCTCCCTGGTCAGTCTGTTAGCCTTGTGTCTCCCCTTCCTCCCTTCCCTCTGGTGCCACCTCATTGCATACATTCAGATAAGGATCTCTTAGGCTTCATGTGGAGGTGGCTCTTCAATAAAGTACCATGTCCAGGTGCTATGTTTGTTTGATCATTTATTTATTTGCATTATTTATAGTCAACCTGAGACTTTGAAACTCAAGGCCAATGACATAGTCAAATACAGTTGACAGGATGGGACGTCCATTGAATGGTGCAATACGGTTTGGACTACAGAAAACTGAAAACAAGCAGGAATCTAAAGCAGAGCTCAGCTGAAACCAACCTAGAACAAAGCATAAGCATCTACACATGATGTGTTAAACGGTGTAGAACCCACATCGATGGAGTATACTTACAGTGATAGGCAGCAATACAATGGTGTAGGCCACATTCCCTATCCCTTTCCCAATGCAACTTTCTGAACCATTTCATTACAATACAGTTACTTGTGGGAGAAAGCCCTCTTGAATAATTCAGTTTTGCATAGATTCAGGTGGGGTAGCCGTGTTGGTCTGAAGCGCTAGAACAACGTCTGGGTCCAGTGGCACCTTTGAGACCAACAAAGTATTATTCAAGGTATGAGCTTTTGTGTGCAAGCACACTTCCTCAGATACAATGAAATGGATTTTACCAGTCCATACATATGGGCAGAGGGTGGGCAACAAATGAGCATGCAACATAATGAAGAAAGAAAGAAAACTGAAAACAAGCAGAAATCTAAAGCAGAGCTCAGCTGAAACCAACACGAAAGCTCATACATTGAATAAAACTTAGTTGGTCGTAAAGGGGCCACTGGACTCAGACTTTGTTCCATTTTTCATAGTTTGCAGAAGGCCAGGAGAATGGGAGCCTTCCTAACCTTGTCAGGGAGGCCATCCCATAAAGTAGGGGGCCACAGCAGAGAAGGCACAGACACAGGCAGTTATTGGTTTTGCTGATTTATAAGATGGCACCTGAAGAAGGTCCTGCTGAGAGAAACATATTTAGGCACCACCAGTTGCTATGGGCAACATATAGGGTTACCAGTTCTGGGTTGGGAAATACCTGGAGATTTTTGGGGTGGAGCCTGAGGAGGGCGGGGTTTGAGGAAGGGAGGGACTTCAATGGGGTATAATACCATGGAGTTCACCCTACAAAGTGGCTATTTTCCCCAGGTGAACTGATCTCTGTTGCCTGGAGATCAGTTGTAGTAGTGGGAGATCTCCAGCCGACACCTGGAGGCTGGCAACCCTAGGCAACAATGCCAGGACCCCAACCTATATGTTAAGCACACACTGTAACCAATTCTGTCACACACAATTATTAATCCAGAAATATTGGACTGGATGCAGCCAGTTTTTCCACTGGTGAAAAGGGAGGAAGGGGTCCCATTTGACCACCAAAAAGGTGGGACCGGCATGGACATAAGCCATGTGAAGCATGAACCGTAATAAGGAGAGGAATTGGCTGAGACACAGCAGAAAAAGTTGGTTGGATTTTATTTAACTTGCCTTTACATGCATCTGCCTTTTACAACCAGTGTAGCACAGTCTTACTTGTGCCATTAAATGTTTCACAGAAATGAATTGCTCAATTAGGTTGATTTAATTTGGTATATTGAGACAGGCTTCTTCTTCTTCTTTTTGCTTTGTCTGCAAAATGCCATGTTATCTTCCAATTATTCCTGGCACAAACAACCACATTTTCTTACCAATTAGGGTTTTGCCTTGGGCTTTGGCCTGCTCATCCCAGTATACCTCTGAGACTGGCTTTTTGAACTGTATGGCTCTTTCCGTATATAGTCGACCTTACATCATCCTGAGAAAACAACTTGAATATTGGCCTAGTGAATTCACAGTCACCTCGTTCCAGATTCAGTACGAAGCTACAAGAGTTACCACTGCATTTTCTTTGAAATAAAATTATAAGGAATTTGGAGGGTCCTGACCAGATGAAAAACTGGGGGGATTTCAAGGGAAATTGCAAGAATATCCATCAGGTTGTTAGAATTTCTTAGGGTGGTAGAGTTTGCATCCAAGATGAATGATAGTTTAATAAAAGTTAGGGTTCTTTTATCAAATCAAGGGCATAATTCAGTTAAATTAAGGACACCCAATTTTCCCTGGTTTCGGTGACAGAGTTTAGCATGCTTCAAACTACCAAAGGAACTTAAAAATGCTTAACTCTGGGTCCTATCATGCCTCAAAGTGAAATTTTCTCAATGGCAGCGTTGCATTTAGTATTTTAATCAGTGCTAAGGAACATCTGTTCACAGGGTAAACGTTTGCTTTCCCCCCCCCCTTATTTGCCCCCCTCTCCCTCTTTCTTTCTCTGTCCCCAGGTACTTGAAGAGAGAATGAAACTGGAATGCAAATGTCATGGGGTTTCTGGTTCGTGTACAACCAAGACCTGTTGGACCACGCTTCCGAAATTCAGAGAGATTGGATACATTTTGAAAGAGAAGTACAATGCCGCCGTGCAGGTGGAAGTTGTCCGGGCAAGCAGACTCCGGCAACCCACCTTCCTCAAGATCAAGCAGATCAGAAGTTACCAGAAGCCCATGGAAACAGATTTGGTCTATATCGACAAGTCGCCCAATTACTGCGAGGAAGATGCTTCCACCGGGAGCGTAGGCACGCAGGGAAGGCTTTGCAACCGTACCTCCCCGAGTGCGGATGGCTGTGACATGATGTGCTGCGGAAGGGGTTACAACACCCACCAGTACACCAAAGTGTGGCAGTGTAACTGCAAGTTCCACTGGTGCTGCTTTGTGAAATGCAACACGTGTAGCGAGCGGACAGAGGTGTTCACCTGCAAATAACAGCGGAGGTTCCCAGGGAGAAAAGGACACGACCACTACATGTGACAGGAAGTTGAGTGGAACAAAACAACTACAGCATCATTTTGCACATTTAATTTTCTTGGGGGGGGGGGGGACCTGTCTCTCTGCCCACTTCCTTAATAGCTCCTGCTTCTAAGAGCGACGCGTCTCTCGCTGGCTGGCTGCTTTGACTGCGTTGGGAAGTGGGGTCTCGGAGGGCGCTACAGTGACTTGGTTCGACACAAGCAACTTTCTTCCCCAATTGCAGTCTGGGTGTTGTAGAATTTTACCCTTAGATTAATTTATACTTGTTGAAGACACTGACTCCAGGATGTTGTTTTCAGATTTATAACATTTTTTTTTAAGAAAAAGGTGTGAAACAAGACTTTTTATGGAGAAACTAGAATCAAAGCAGTGTTGCTAAAAACTTTTATTTCTGATTTTTTTTAAAAAAAATAAAAAGCAGGTACAAAGGGCAGCCAGTGAGACAAAGCTGTAAAATGGGGAGGGGGGGGAACTTGGAGGACTCATTTGTAAGACGAAGGTAAGCAAATTCTGACCGCTGCCAGTGACACTGGAACCTTTCAAATGGACGTTTAAAAGAGGGGGGGAAAGATTATTTTATTTATGTTTTAATAGTATCGAAACAAATTCTCTAAGCACTAACGGGTAGCTATGTCTTTATTCTGTACAAAATGTAAACTTATTGGAACTTTCTGATTTTTTTTTGTTTGTTTTTGGTTCTCCCCAGTGTTTCTCAATGCTACTGATTTCATGGCACTCCTCTGTTAAAAAAGAGTTCTATTATTGTACTCCTCAAGCATAGCCCAGGGCTAGCCCGTAGCAACAGTGGGGCTACTGGGCAATGCTCCCTCTAAGCTGTGGATCTTGTGAGCAAAAATTCTACTTTGTGAGCTACTGGCATTAAAGTTGTGAGTCAGCAATTTGGCTACTACATAGATTAGTTTGTGCTGGAGCCATCCTTCCTGAGCTAAGACAAAAATGTGTGAGCTGGAGGCTAAAAAAACCTGTGAGCTAGCTCACACTAACTCAGCTTAGAGGGAACACTGCTACTGAGGCTCCGCCCCCTTCCTTAAAGGGCCAGCCCCACAAGATTTCCTTCTGAAATTTTTTTGTTTTAATTATTTTAAAACCTTTTTTAAAAGGCTTTAACTAACCTCACAAATGTCAGCTGGTGTGTGCTGCTGCAAATGGCTATGTGTGATACCAGACAACCAGCCCCATAGCTAAGGACTTTTTAGGGAGGGGGCCTGGGGGGCCCCCACCTGCTAATCCAATCAAAGGCTCCAGGGCAAGGGCTTCAGTGGCTGCAGCTTCCCTCCCTCTCCTCCCTCCCCTCCCACAAGGGCAGGCCTTCCCTGTGGAGCATCCGGGTCCAGCTCCCTCCCTCCCCAAGGCGCCCCAGTGCCTCTTCCCATTGCACAGCACCAGGGGTAGCCTCTGGAATCACTGCCCTCGTCCTCCCTGCCAACAGGCTGACAGGCAATCAGGGGGAGTTGGGGTCAGGAAGGGGCCCCATAAAAACTGCTAGGCGGCCAGGCCTTGTGGGCCCCTGTGTCCAGCCATGCTTCTTGCCATCCTCATTTCCATTTCAGAATATGTTATTAAACTGTAAATCCTTTTGGTTCCCCGATGCCCCTTTGTCCTTTTATGAGCACAGCACTTGCCTGTGGGAACCACAGATCTAAGGCCAGAAGCTAGAAGTTTCTTATCAACACATGTGACTTCAAACATGCACTACTTTTCAATTGCATCAATTCATATGCTGGTCCCAGTTACTAAGCACTATCCATGAATGGGTGGACCAGCCCCGAGTCATTGTCCCGTATTGTTGACTTAAGGGTCACCACATCAAGACGGGATCGAATCACGAGATCTTCACATTTGGTCTTTGTAAACCTAACGTGAGCTTCTGTCCATCAAAGTTTTCAACATCTTGTTGAGTCCATTATATTTTCTTACTGAAAATTAATGTGCAGTCTAGCTTCTGTGGCCTGTGGTTCTGTGTGTTTTTGCACATACTGTAAAAACCACAAAGATACATGCATCACAGATATTCACTTCAGCAGGTGATGCCTCCTGGGTAGCAGGAGAGATGGAGAACAAAAGGCCAGTTCATGAAATAGTCACCATCCAGAGACTGACCCCATCCCACCTCTAGCCCTGCAGCACTGCTGGCCCTGCCCACATCTGATCAGTGGGATTTAGATGAGCACCAAGGCAGATCAGTCCTGCATGTCCAAATGTGTCTCTGTGCACACCAGAGGCTGCTGAGCCACAGCCCCTCTTTGGCATCCAGGTCAGGAAGTTTTCCAAAAATGTGGAGCATCTGGCAGTTCTGAGCATCCAAATTTTGAAAGACCAATCCAGAGTGATTCCAGATATACCATTTTACATACGGTGGAAGTGGTTTGAAAACCCATTTCCTAGCCTGAAAACAAATACCCTGGAATGTAGCAGACGTTTGCTTAAACGACTTCCACGCATTGATAGTGTTACGTCTGGCTTCACACTTCTTGGCCCTAGGCTAGACTGGGTGATTTACCTCCATGTACAATAAGCACTTGCCAAGCTAGTCTCGTTGTCTTCTCAAGTGATAGAGGGAATTTACCACTCCTTCCACCACTGACCCCAATTTATGGTGCATATAGATCTGCAGTAAAATTCTCCTCCCCACTTAACAGGATGTCACACTGATTATTTTAAAATAAATTCAGAGTCCAGTGGCACCTTTAAGACCACTGGACTCTAAATTTGTTCTACTGTTTCAGACCAACACAGCCGACCACCTCAATTATTTTAACACATTCTATAAAACAATTTTAGCGCATGCCAGCCATTGATGGGTTGTAAGATGCTCCTTATTACTTAGCAGGATAACACATGTAACCAAGCTCACCTCTGAATAGTTTGTCTGTATGGATGCAGAGTACCATTTACCAAGTACTCTGCTTGTACTCTGTATGCCAAGCCATGGATGCTAGTCACCTGGCCTGCCATTCTCAGTGTAGCAAAGCGGTTGTATCTCGCCAGCTTTTTCACTCAACCACACCCAGTCCCCCTCTTTAGTACAACCATCATCCCAAATGGCTTCTGTACATGCCATGATCTCCAGCACAGCTTGTTTCGGTGGGCAACGACCTCCCCTCCCCCCTTACTTTTTTGCCAGCAGAAAAGCTGGTTGGATTCAACCCAAGAATTTCCTTCTTTCCTGGATTTTTGATTAAATGTGCCAGGAAATTATACCCAGAGAACATGGAACCATGGGTTTTTTCCCACCTCCTGATTCAATCCAGGAGGCAGAGAAATGCCCTGAACCCTGGCCAGAAGTGATATTTCTGTGCATGCTTTAGTTTTGCTGTCATGTCATAGCTGATTTATGGCGACTCCTCATGGATTTTAAAGGCAAGAGACCTTCAGAGTTGGTTTGTCATTGGCTGACTCTGTGTCATGACCCTGGTATCCCTTGGGGGTCTCCCATCCTAATACTAGCCAGGGCAGACGCTACTTAGCTTCCAAGATCAGGCTAGCCTGGGCTATCCAGGTCATGGCTCCACATGCTTTTCTAGAGGCCTAGAAGCCCTCTACACGTCCATCTTATCAAATATAAGGGAATTTTTTTTCTTTGTTTGGAAAGGGATAGTAGAATGCTCTAGTAGGCTGTCTAGTATGGGCTGACTTGAAACAGGGTGAGGTTGTTCGAGTTTCGTGAGAAAACAAAAGGAATATTTACCAATAGACACTGGCAGTGTCAGTCTGTGGTTCACTCCTTGTTGCTGTTATTTGTTTGACCAGGAATTGGTACAATAGCATCCATGAGGATTTTTGTTCTGGTGTTTTTGTTACACTGTTTCCGTTTGGCCATTCTGGAAGTTGATGTGGCTGTCCACCAGAGCCTCTTTTATGGATTAAAAAATTATGAAATATTTTAATTTACTAACATGTGTGCAGCCTGATCCATTGGAATGAGTCAAAGCTGGATCAACTATCTGAAATATTGCAATATTTCTCAAATTGCCATGCAAATATCAAACATCGAGTTTCTACTATAAATTTTAAATTTGCATTTTGAATGTGAAACGGTGTTTCAGTAATTCTCATTTGAATGCAGTTGTCTAGGCTTGTTAAATATCTCTTTATTGTTTTCACATCCGGTATGAAATCTTACAATTCGTCTGCTGTCAGATACTAATACCACTGCATGTCATCAGTCCTATAGAATTAAAATACTAATGTCATTACATCCCAGCTATCAAATGTCACATACTGAGATCAACCATAAAACTTAAGTAAATACTGAAATTAAACATCATAGGATGTCAGATGCTAATGTTGGGACATTAGGCAAATATTTCAGAATTCAGAGAATATTTGTAGAACATTTTACTTTAGAATTCGCTGAAGACACATCAGGAAACAAATTGTTTTAGGGTCTCGAATGAGTGAAGTTCAACAGGTTTATTATTTCGTGATGTGTTTGTGGTTCATCATACCTTAACACCCCAAGTGGGATGAGCTATTTATAAAAATCCTAGTTGGCATAATTTCAATGTTAAAACAGCTGTAAGTGGGAGTGTCTGCTCTACTTGCTGAATTTTTTGACAAACTGCTGTTCAATCACCAAGCATTCAAGCCCTTCTGCAAAACATCTGCATATCCCATGCCGTTCAGTTTCCTTTCCTTTGCTACGAGGCTCATGCCCTGTGGAATGACAAGTATCCTAGAGTAGTCTTTCTTGCATGTATTTGAGGGGCTCAATTAAGTTATATTATTTGTGTATCATTCAAATGTCTATAAAGTTATTTTAAATTATTGTGAACAACACTGAAAAAAAGGTTACGTTATTCTTACACAACATCCGCTGAAGCTGGGCATGTATTATCATCGCCAAACTCGCTCATTCAACTTTCCTGACTATCCAAATTACTTCACCCTGCTCCTCCCACCATCCAGAGCCTCACTTGGTACTCTGGATGTACTCTTTGTGTGTAGGCTGCCTTATTCGTTCTATACATATAC